AATTAAAACTTTCTCGAAGGGTATATATGGCTCTGTGCAAATGGTCACTTGCACGCTAGTGAGCCCACAGTAACTGGCTATCTTGAGAGCTTTTACGCGGATGTGTGAAAGTGAAATAAAACATATGAAGTTAAATAAAACATATGAAAAATCGAGAGGGCAGCAAACTGTCTGCGGAAGCAAGAGTTTGCAAACAACCCGATTACGCTTTCAGAAATTAGATGCTGATACCGTAAGAATATACAGAATGAATGAACCAGGTAGCCGGATTTTGAAGTGATTCGAGTTCGATTGATGATTTGTGGGGTTTATTGTCCCAAAACCACCATATGATTCTGAGAGACGCCGTAGTGGAGGGCTCCGGAAATTTTGACCACCTGGGGTTCTTTAACGAGCACCCAAATCTGAGTACACGGGCCTACAACATTTCCGCCTCCATCGGAAATGCAGCCGCCACAGCCAGGATTTGATCCCGCGACCTGTGGGTCAGCAGCCGAGTACCTTAGCCACTAGACCACCGTGGCGGGGCAAGTGATTCGAGTTCACTTATGATATATGTTTGATGGGGGTTCCACATAGAAGACGAATGCTCGAGCTTAGATCTGACAAATGATTTATATGCAAGCATCTTGGCATGAGGTGGAGTATGGTGTATGAGAAATCCAAGTGATTTATTAGCAGCTGGAATGATGATGTGATGAGGCTGGGACAGGTCATGAGCCAAAGTGACACTAAGGTATTTATATAATTGAACTGATTGTGTAAAACATTAGCAATGATAAGTAAACTGCAAAGGGTCACGGCATCAAGAAAACGAAACAAGTTTACATTTATTGATATTTAGGTTCATTAGCCTACGGTTGCACCATGTTTGCATGCTGGATTAGTGTTTGGTCTTGAGTGTTGGTTACTGATAGGTAGATTACCGTGAATGCTCGTATACAGCTCGGACCCCCATATAGTCCGGGGTGTAATTTGGGGACAGCAAACATAAGAAAATAAGCTTTCACCCGAATATAGCTTGAGTAAAAAGAAAAAATGCATTTATTGACACACTTCATTCATCCTCATCGTCGGACGCACTCTCTTCCAAAGCTCATTCGTAGGAAATGTTCTCTTACATCACATCGTCCTCAGCGCCTTCTTTTTGAATGAGCAGCAAATAAGCACCTCGGGGATACAGGGCCAAGCCTCGACCCTCCACGAGAGGCTTGAAAGGAGTACCTGCTCGGCTCCTCTACCTTGGATGCGCAACGCTCCTTGGTGGCGTGCGCCCAGGCAGCGGCGATCTCCAATGGCATCCCCGACCAGGTACTGCCACTCAGGCGCACAAGAACTCCCTAGTTAATTTCAAGATAAAAAGTTTACCCCAACACATGATTGATTTGTGGGGTTTAACGTCCCAAAACCACCATATGATTATGAGAGACGCCGTAGTGGAGGGCTCCGGAAATTTTGACCACGTGGGGTTCTTTAACGTGCACCCAAATCTGAGCACACGGGCCTACAACATTTCCGCCTCCATCGGAAATGCAGCCGCCGCAGCCGGGATTCGAACCCGCGCCCTGCGGGTCAGCAGCCGAGTACCTTAGCCACTAGACCACCGCGGCGGGGCCTTACCCCAACACACCTCACTAACTTTTTACAGACAGGCGCTCATGCACGCAGCCCGGCGTCTGATTGATTGCTTGCTTGATTGAGTGATCTATCGATCAAATGATTGATTGATTCATTCACTTACCACCACAATCCATGAGCAAAGCATCGTTCTCGAGGCCCATGTGAGCTGTTCAGCAGAGTTCACTTCTGGTTCTCCGGACCTCATCCACTCTGCATACAGGTGCTTGACATGGTCCTTAAATGGCTTATAAAGGCACACATCAAGCGGATGCAGCTGTTATGTCATCCCCGCAAGGAATGGCAACGCAGGAGTCGCAGAGCAGTCACTTTATGGAGTCTGTCAGGTCACACTGAAGCCTGTCGAGCACAAGCATTGAAGGGAGCCCCAGCAGTACTCCGGGCCGTCCACATCACACGGACTTTATCCAGTCACGCACCAGTAATTCCTCCATCCACCCCTTGTCCTGGCAGCGGACAACGACATGTTTTGGGAAATTCTCCTCCCTCGGCAGCATCTTTCATTTGAACACCATGTAGGGTGGTAGCTTCCGACCGTCTGCAGTGCAGCACAACATTAGTCACCCGCATTTTTTTGTTCCCAGTCGATCGCACGGTAACCTGCTTGGAGCCTTTCTGAAGCACCGTCACTGCCGAGGGCATAACCTGGTAGACCAGTGTTCGGCACCCATTGCCCTTCTGGCCCCGCTGGTTGGAGACAGCCTTTCGTAACGTAAACAAATAATTTCGTAACTTCACAAGGTCCTCTTTATGGCTTTTTGGTAGGTCCTGCGAGATCTACGTATGCCAACATAGGGAGAATACAGCACAGCGCATGAAGAGAAACACTCGATGCTCGCTCGTTTTGAAATCCTCCAGCTGAATGCCTTTGTTTCGGGCGATCTCCCTTGCCTTCGCTTGTAGCGGCTCAATGTTAACAGCGAGATGTGCAGCTCGGTGCTACCGTACAAATTCTGCAAGTTCTTGTTCCACGTCGCGAAACGCTCCATTTTTTTGGTCTGCGAAAACTTTTTCTCTGGCCGCTGCAAGGAAAGAGGGCGTCCTTCTGCTTCTGCCCACTGCAAATACTCCGCTCGTTGACTTCGAACTGCCGCTCCACGGCAGAGTTGAGTTGCCAATGGTTTCAGCAGCAGCGATAACTTTCCTTTTAAAAGCAGCCGAGTACTGCCTGCGCGGTGCTGACATAGCGTAAAATCACAGGGGCAAGATCGTGGCCATTGTTATGGATGTTATAGACAACAGGGGTCAGTGGCAAAGGCCACTGACCCCTGTTGCACGCGTGGGTCTGTAAGACTAATGCCTGCTACCACCGCTAACACTATAGAGTTTCATAAAATCAACTAGAGGAGACTCTGGCGTTGTGATCGGTCAGCGACTATGGGAATGATGGGTAATACACAGATTTGCCTAGTTTTTGTACTTGCGGGCGGCAAATCGCACTTGTGGCTTCGTTTATTCCTGATTTCGGTTTTTATTCCCGATTTTGAGCTCGTTGAAGGATATTATACAATAAATACAAACAGTCACTTACAATGCGAAAAAACATTAACGAACGAGGGTATGCGAAGTGCAACTCGCTGCTTGAGAGCAGCTGATCGTTCATCATCGCTGTCACTCTTGGTGTGTTCTACGTCCAGCGAAAAATCTACGTCAAGGCGGTTTTTCCGAACAACACAGCTGAAAGTAACCTGAGCAATTCTCTCAGCCAAACGACTTCAATAGCACCAACAATGCGTCAATCACCATGTTTATCTGGGCGCGGAGACATCCGGCAAGAAGCGAATCGCTTGCAGTGTGCTACTTCGATAGCACCAACAACGCGTAACTCACCATGTTTATCTGGACGCGGAGACATCCGGCAAGAAGCGAATCGCTTGCAGTGTGCTGCCATCTATCAACGAACGTAAGAATCAAGCGCCGCAGCGTTGGCCAAGGTTTGGAAGAGAAAATCATGGGCCTGCGCTACATTCTGCGAACAATGACTGTTATGGGATTCTTGCGCTACGAAAGCACTGACGAATTTTATTCGCATGTAAAACAAGGCGAGTTTCAACTGCAAAGGTCAGACGATGACATTTAACTATGCAACATGGCTGCAGAAAATCTCGCAAAGCTGGTAAGTGTACTCTGCGGGCTATAATAGAATGCACGGGTTGCCACATATTTTCACGAAAACTTTGCGTCTCGCAACAAAGAATTAGATTTATTGTGTCAAAGACGGTCCGGTATATTTACTGATGCACGAAGCATAAAAAGTGGCTTGTGTGAGCCACTTTTTCGTGCTATCAAGTGAACACTGAGGCTAGCACAGCCAAAAAAGGGAGCGTTTGCCTATTGATCAACCTCGAGAAAATGCTGCTGAATTCAACTAGGTGGCGAGACAGACAATGAACATAGCGAATACCCATAGAACAATTTTACCATGCTAAGTTAGACCTGCTTGGTCCTTTTCCTGGATCAACATTGGGACACAAATGAATACACCGTAAACTTACTTACAGTGCAACACCAGAAAAAAAAAATACAGGACAGGGAAGGAGTAAAAGAGAAAAAAGACAGCGTCGTCTTTTCTTTCTCTTTTGCTCCTTCCCTGTCCTGTATTTTTTCTGGTGTTGCGCTGTAAGTAAGTTCACGATGGATCCTAACCAACTGGCCCAACTTACCGTCTTACCACAAATAGATAGTTGTGGCAACAGATTACACTATACTATTACTTAAGGTCGCCAAATAAGCTGTGCAACCAATGTTGCAGACTTCTCGTGTGCTTAGATTTCGGTGAACTTTAGGTTTAGGTTGAAATTGCCAAAGCCCTCCAATATTGCATCTCTTATAATTATATGGCAATTTTGGGACGTTCAACCCCAACAATTATTATACTACAATTATAGTTACACGGGACTTTAATAGATACTTCGTGAAGGAGCATCTGTTACCTACGAGATTGGCCCCCTCACTCCCTCGTCGTCCATTGATGTTCATCCCACGGCTACAATGCTGCTCCTGAAAACAACCTTTAAAGTTGAGGGACTGTGCTTCTGCCGCTGGCGGTAATGCTACATGCCAGTGGCACCAGAGCCAAATAGACGAAGAGGAAAACAACAGAAGATAGACTGGTGCGAACTGATCGTATTGGCAGTGTTGCTTCCTTAACCAAATGCGTAACGGCCGTGTTGCTTGCTTATCCATATGTAAATACATTTGCACCAACTCCTTTGAGTTTCCCGTAATACTATTGATACTGCATAGATAAGGCATTTTGAATGCCAAAATCAGTATGTTCCAAAACATGTTTTTTTTAACGCTTCTAGCGAGTCAATTCCTGAAGGTGTATCAAGACTTTGTGCCACCACAGGCACACTTACACTGTGATAGCCTTGGTTGAGTATTCCATCGGATAGTCCATGGCAGCCTTGAGCAGCCGTATCACATTGAGCTGGGAAGGAGAACTGTTCCGGTCACTGCCGTTGCCAGCTCCTGGTAGCAAAAAAAGACAATGTGAATGAAACTGTCCACAATCGAATCTGGTTGCTGGTGCTCAAAGCAACATGCAAGCTTCACCAGATAAATATTTTTGCTAACATGTTATCAGTACAGTTGATGCAGGGCATTAAAAGGCAACCAAGGGATCATGAAGTGAATGAATGTTCAAAGCCTTCTCACACTTAGCACAGCTCAGAGAAACAATATTGTACAAACATAGAAAAGAAGTAGTGCTTGAACTTGCGCATGCAGCACCAGCTTGCAGTTTGTAACATATTTCATTAATAAGTTATAAAGTATGCATGACTAAATAACAATCATGCACGTGTTATTAGCTTGCAGTTTGTAACATATTTCATTAATAAGTTATAAAGTATGCATGACTAAATAACAATCATGCACGTGTTATTAACACATGACAGAAATACGCCTGAACAGTTTTCCTGTATTTTCAGGAACATTTAATTCGGGCTAGCCGTCTCAGGGTGCCAAACGTACATTTCGCCTTGTTGACCTCATCATTGCTGTTCAAATAAACCAAACTTGACATTTGGCGAGATGGTGCATAGCTATCGAGAATTTCGTGCATAAAAAGAAGACATTCATAAGAGCAGAAGACAGGACAAGCGCTACTCTCCTCCAACTTTATTTGAGGCTTTGCCCAAATTAGATCCAGAAAAACACACATGTGCACAAAGTCAAATGCATTGTCAAACACGTTTTCATTTCAAAAATTACTATCAAAATACAGTTAAACCCTTTTATAAGAAGCATGCTCCATGCAGCGATTCTCATCTTTTTTGTATGCATTTTCTTATAGACCCGTATTTTACTATAGGCACACTGGCGTCTCTTATACACATTCGTCTCTTATGGCGAATACCATTGCGAGAACAGGAGTAGAGGGGCAGGGCAGTTAGGAGTAGGACCACACTGAGAGCAGGGCCACTCAACCTGCTATTGGAATGCGCCGCACTCCCAGAGAGCAGGTGAGAAGGTGATGAGTAGGGAGACGATGTCACTGAAACATTCCAAGCCTCGGCATATTCTCTCTGGGGCAGCAGCAAAATACGCGTGAAATCGGTCAGCTACATGTTCTTCATTATCCTGATACCTAGTATGCTTGTGCAATGACCCATTCGGCAGACAGTTCAGCTTTCATCATAGCCATGCGTACAAAACAGCGGTGTCAAACTACACATGGTTGCTACCATTGCTGCCGAGCTCGCCGGCTGAGGAAAAATTCTGAAACTGCTGACGTTCAAGAGCCACGTGACTCGTGGCACTCTGCCTTTTCCGCTTTTTTCAGGTGAGAGCACTGCAAACTACTCCTGGCTGCTCTGGACACAGCAAAAGCACTCTCTCCGTACCAATGGGTGACCATGATCCTGCCCCCGTTCGACCACTGAAACACGCCGACTTTGAAGAGAGCACTTTAAGCGTGCTTTTGAGTGCTCCTGCTCTCTCAATGGAATTCGCCATTATATCAGTGTCTCTTATAAAGGGGCTCAACTGTACACCGTTTCTGCCTTCCAAGGCAGAAACGGTATACAGTTGTTTCTGCCTTCCAACTGTACACCGTTTCTGCCTACCGAAGTTCCACTGACACACATATCCCCTCTCTTCCTGATATTGCCACATTCTAAGTTATGTTAACGCCCCATTTCACTGTCCGAAATTCTCAGTGGGAACTGCGCCTGCATCGTTCGAGAAGATTCGAAACTGCAGTAGATCCCACTTCACAAGCACAACAGATTATTCTGAAACCTATGTCACCGCTAGCGATGACGCTAGAAAATTCGATGTCGAAGTGTATAAATGCCTACAAGCTTCGCTGCTCGTCGTTTGATCGCCGGCGGATGCTCTGTTTGCGGCTATCAGTGCCCGTGTGCTGCTGTAATCTGATCTCCAGTTTTCTGGCCACAAGTTCGGCTTTATTTGCGCGTCGAGCCACAAGTTCCGACGCGCAAATAAATACGAACAGGATATTTTTATAAACAAAATACACAGTAACCTAAGCTATTGAATTGACACTGAATTTGAAGCCACTAGGTTTAAATACTTCCAATACCATCATTGATGCAGTTTTGAGTTGTCATACGAGCGAGATCTAGATTAGGATCTTGTGCTTCCTCAATTTCTTCAATTGGACAGCCACACTCGCCGCGTGCATTTAATGGAGCACATGGAGAACCATCTACTCTAAATAATTAACTGTCGGGCTAATTAGCTGTGCATGATTGGCTTTGAAATATTACCACAAGCTAGGGGGCAGCACAGCATGTCCATGCCCCCCACCCCCTGACATTGTTTTTTCGCCATGGCTTACACACAAAAAAATCAAGCCCCCTCCCCAAAATCAAGCCTCCCCCCCCCCCCCCCGGAAAAAAAATTCGGGCTGCGCGCCTGTCGCAAGCATATCAGATATTGCTGAGGAAAACCTAGTTTTTTCTATTGCCAATATAGTTAGGCTTGCTTCAATAATTTCTTCACCAGCGTGCCCATGTCTTCGAAATACCTCAGAATCTACGTGTATAGCCCACTGCTGTCCTTATTCAGCGGTAAATTTGGATTTCCTATAGCTTTAATTAGCCTATAAAAATAAATCACACTGAATAAACGATATACCCTATTCATAATACACCATGATATGACTTTGAGGAACGCTGTAGTGGAGGGTTCCAGAATTTTACACCATCTGGTGTTCTTTAATAAGCACTGACATCGCACAGCACACGGCCCTCAAGCATTTTTACCCCCATTGAATGCGCCCGCCGCGGCGGTGATCGAAGCCGCGACCTTGGGATCAGCAGCCGATCACCCAAGTCACTGTTCCACCGATGCGGACCATTCCTAATAATGACAATAACTATATCTGGGGTTTTACGTGCCAAAATAACAATATAATTATGAGCCACTCTCAAGTGAATGCATGGCTATGATATTTTGAATCATCTGGAGTTCTTTATGATGCAGTGACATCACATAGTGCACCGGCCTTAGCCGCGCAGCCGGAACCGTCTCGTTTCATGTGTTCGTCATATTGCTTGTAATAATATGTGTCACTCATCCATAACCACTAATCCAGCTAAAGTAATGCGACCTCTTCACGTGACCATGACAAAGCACTCATCAGAAACACGTGTAACTACCGGCGCAGATTGCTCACTACAGCTGAAGCAGCCTTGGGAGAAACACCTGTGTCGTCGATAGGTGGCGCCACAGCCGATGCGGCGGCTGGAAAAGGAACTAGCATTCTCACAGGCGAAGAGGAGCATTCGGCGGGCCACACCAAAGGCGAAGATCGAGCGGCCGTGGTGGTGATAATCCTGTCGTACTGTTGCAGCAGTACTGGTTGTTGCCGAAATCGGTTCTGCTGCATATTCAGTCGACGTGCTGCAAGCTCTTGTTTGTCCCTTCCAGTAGAGAGACCAGGCTCCTGGAGCATTAATGGAACTTGATAACGGCCAGCTTGCCTGCTGAGGCACCGTTCAAACCTTTCGTCTAGATGGTCTTCCACCTTACCTGTCCTCATGCTCTCAATATCGATCATGTGCATGATACACACGGCCTGTTCGTCGCCCTGAAGGTCATTTGACATGCGGAGGGCACAAGTTGCAGTTATGGAAGCGCCATTTTTTACTTTTGGAGCAGACTCTGGAGCCGGAAAAATGGTGCTTTGGAGGAGCCTTGGTTGTTTTTGGAGCAGGTAGCAGAATGTTCATAACAACTCCTGAAGTTAAAGGCATCATTTGAAACTCTTATATATATATATATATTAGAAAACAGCAGTGCAAACAAAAATCACAGAAAATTGCAAGAATAATAATCAGGCTTATGGATGATCTTTGAACACCAAGTGAGTGTCTTCAATTTTGCAAATTAAAATTGAAAATTTCAAAAATAAAATAAGCTGAATGAATTAAAACTATCAATGTTTGTTGTTGTGACACAAACAAAGTCAAAGCTATAAGTGTAATCAGTCACATGTCAAAGTTTTCACCGTAGTGGCTATAGTACGACTGAGAAGTCTTCCACGCATTTCACCAAAATATCTGCTTGTAAGGTAAAAATGCACTATATATATATATATATATATATATATATATATATATATATATATATAGAGAGAGAGAGAGAGAGAGAAAATGTGAGTACGTGTAGCATTGTCAATTTTCTAGTATACCCCCACCCCCGGTTACTATACAAGCTGTATACTACATGATAGTATCCAGCTTTTTGTTTTCATACAGGCTCGCTGGATAGTCACACTGTTTTTAGTTCTCCCAGCACCATTTTGGAGCAGGTTTGGAGCAGTTACTAACAAATATTGTAATTTGGAACAGCATAAAGCAGCATTTTTCTTTTGGAGTAGTTTGGAGCAATTGGAGCAGCACTTCCATCACTGAAGTTGGATTACCTGCATGGTGTGTGCCTCTTCCCTGCACAGTCCACCTGAAAGATGTTTCAACCGCAGTGATTTCCTAGTTGAGGCGATCAATCTTTCCCGTTGCAACCTTCCAGTGAGCGTCTGAGCTTATCAAGATGCTGATATCGTCTAAGTGCCAAGTCTCGGAGTCTAATAATCTGCCGCATCATGTCGTCCCCTGGCGTACAACACCTCCAGAATGTCAGGATCCAGTGGCGGACTAGTTACAGAGCATACCTCGGGTACCTGTAGCGCTTCCAACGTAACTTTTCTGCCATTGAATCAACTCCACAGCGGGACGGAAATGCGGTGTCAGCGCAAATGATGCCGTAGTTCAGCATTCCCGAACGTCACTAACGAAGGCTCTTCCATTGCGAGGGCTCAGAATTGAAGTTTCTTTGCAACATTGGTGCGGATGAATAAACACTGGCTGCCACTGTCTAGCATCACACGAACTAGGAATCGTTGTGGTCTGCTCTCCGCCCAAACGTGACCAGTCTGGAGCACTACAGAAGTTGCTCCTGAGTCACGGGTCGAGGCCGTGGTCCGTGTCAGTGAGAAGTAC